GGGAGAGCAGCACTACTGCCTCAAGTATAAGAAATTTCTGGAGGTTTGTGATTGAAAAGCTGCTATGGAAACTACAGTGCCATCCCTGCGTATAGGGCTGGAAATGATGGCCAGGACAAATCACTTATTACACAAAGAAAACTACTACCTGGAAGGTCTCCAACCTCGAAAATCATGCTAAAGAAAGACATCAGAAAAATTATACAGGACAGCCACACAGCTGTAGGACTCACCATGTGCATACTGCCAATCTTGCAGCTGATTTAGCCATATAAATCAATTTGACTGACATGACCAGTAGTAAGATGCATCTTCCAAGGCATGCCTTCAGGCCTACCTTTGCAGTTATAATTATCTGCTATACTTACCCAAGAACTATGAGAATGTCTCTTGAACTGCTTTTTTTATGCTTTGGCTTGGGTTTTGTTGTTGTTTTGTTTGTTTGGTCATTCCAGGGTTAGATGTCTTTTGCATATTTGCTTACAGGAAAATACTGGAGGATCTTCTAACAAGGATGTGAGTGGAGAGTCCACCTAAATGTGTGGTTAAGAACTGTAGGACACAGATGGAGTAAACAGCCTTTAGAGAAGCCAAACTTCTATACTTCTATGGACACTTGTTGGAGCAATAGAAATATCCTTTGTTTCAGGTATCTTTATGGACCAAATCAGAACATGGCAGTAATTTCTGCTCTTTGTCAATCTGCCAGTAAAACTACTATACATTGTGTCCTGGACATGACCCTAAGTGCACTCAGAAACTGAGTAGGGTCTAAGGGAATCCAGACAGCTACCTACTTAAAAGATGACCTAAAAACAACAAAGAAAAGTTGCATGAAAAATCTTTCAGTGGATGTTGGCATATCCTGTGCCAATCCAAGTAAGAACTGGCAATTCTTTCTGTGTTCTGCCTGCTCTTTGAGTGTTTTAATCTGGCTCCTATAAAACAGGATTGCCTGTACATAAATGTTTTCTTTTGCGTTTGGTATCCCATGGAACAGACAGTTCTGGAGCACAGTTAAATGTCGCCCAGATTTCAGGGCTTGTACCTTGCCAAGAGTCTAGGTGAAGCCAGTACATTTTGCTTGCACTTCACAGCAGGAGAAGATTACTGTGCTTGACAACAATCAAGAATTTTACACAAGAAATGTCTATTCATGTACTCTGCAAAATAATTAGTTGTATCACTCCCTTTACCTCTAACAAATCCAGGTGCCACTCTGCCATGCTCTGCCATGAATAAAGGGGCTTCAATCATTCTCTTCACAGAAGAGAAAGTTTCCCCCTAGTTCTCTGTCTTGGAGAGAATGGAAAAGCAATTCAAGGGAAGGAAATGGTACTGAGGAAAACTGCAGGGGAAGAAAAGATTATAAAATGTAAAAAAGGTCTTAGAAGATGTGAAATGTAGGAAGCAGCCAGTGGAAGCTACACATGTACTGAGCAATTGCTCTGTATAAGAAGAGAACATGTGCTTTTCCACATGAACCAATGTTTTTTAAAGAGGAAGCACAGAGAATTTGGGGAGGGTTACCTAACTAGTTATAGGAAAGCAGTCTTATCTACACAGTGACTCACAAAGCCTGTGCAGGATGAAGAACCAAGGTGGCTCCTCCAGATCCAAAATAGCAACCAATCATATGACAGGGAGAATGACTTCCCTGGGCTGTGCTTCCCACACTGATAGCACGGATGAGAAAGATGGGCACTACTTTGTCCATGGCTTAGTTGCTGTACACACCTCACCAAGCTCAGGTGTGAGCAAGCTCAGGTTCCCTATGTCACCACAGTTCTGAGCATGCACCTTACTGATGAACCCACACTGCTCCCCATGTGTCATTTGATCAGCCTTTGGCTACTAATTTCAGAACACTGCAGAACTTATTTTATGCCCTGGATAAGAGTTTAACATCGGTGCTGCTGTAATCGTACCTGTTTATGGGAAACCACTGTTTCCCTGAGAACAGCATTTCTAGACTCTTAAATTTTGTGGTGTAGCACTTCAACATCTGCAAATGTTATCACCACACTTGTGGTCAAGGTCAGTGGACCTGTGGTTGATGTGTTCTCAGTGAAAGTCTCTGCAACCATCCAAGTGCCTGAGAAGGTCAGATCATACAATGCTTATGACAAGCACTTTAAGGTATGGTTCTGCAAAACAACCAGGGCAAAATAAAAAATAGCTATTTTGTCCTGGATGGCTACAGCTTTGGGCAGAGATCTGAACTGACTGAATTATAATTAAAAGTGTTTCAGCAGAGAATGACGAACATTGTACAAAGCTATAGCCATGGCTCAGAATAAGTTCTGAGCTGAAACACAAACACACACACAGAGCCAGCTGAGGTATCTGAGCATGGAGCTGCAGTTAGAAGTATAGCCAAACCTGAAATGCCTGCAAATACTATTTTGACTCTAAGCATTTATCTAACTGTTCCTTTTCCAAGCATTTGTTCCCCCTTGCTTTATTTTTTTTTCCAAACTTGTATAACATTTTGTGATTGACTTTTCCATACTTATTAATACTAATTAAAAAAGCAATTTATTCTATTAATAGTCTCATCAGAACCAACAGCACTTTTCAGAAGTGAAATACAGCTTGAAGTAAGAGTTAGAGAATTGGACTGTAGGCTCTATGATTTTATATTTTTGCTAGCTGCCTAGCACAGTTGTGGGAATACAAAAGTACAAAAAAGGAAGCCCCATGTAACATTAACTTTCAGACTGCAAATACTTTTCTAGCAGCCAGAATGTCTGAAAAGTATTATTTAGTTCATGTAATATATGGGACACAATAGCTAGACAGCAAATTCTTTTAGTTAACACAGCATATGTATGCATATATACACACACACACACACATATATATAAATATAAAATTTTGAACAGCAGATTGGCTCAGAAATTCTGTTCTAAAGGTCACACATGAGGATATCTTTGTTACATGATACTTGAAATTTCCTATGTTACTTTATGCCTGCAATAACTACATCATCTTTTTAAAATGAATTTTCCAAATAAATCGTGATTCTACCTTACAATTTTTGTCATATTAAGTACATTTCCTGATGAAAATTTAAGTATTTATGGTAAGCCTTAAAGCTATGTGACATGTGGAGCTGAACATTTTCAAATATAAAATAGTGTTCACAGCTGATGGCTAACTTGTGAAGCCTTTAGCTGCTAGGACTATGGTAGCATTAGGTAAATGAAAGCACAGAAAATTGAGCACTGCATTGATTCTTTGCAGCTGTATCACTGACAGGGGTAAAGATGAGGCCAACTTGGACCACAAAAACAGTACTGAACAGCTTGTACTCAAATATGTTTTTGCTGCTGTGCCACTAAGCAGTGACATTTCTACACTAAAAACAGTATACCAAGCCTTTTCTCATTGTTTTATCTTTTCATTGCTTTTCTCCAGATGTTTAATCAGAAGAAAACAACTTGGCTACTACATAGGAGAGAACAAACTTTGCTTTTGTTTGAAAAAATCTCATTTATTTAAAAAAACAAATATCTGGGTTTCAACTGAGAGACTGAGAAGGTGTTTTGGCTTTTTATCAGTCTATTTTTTAAGCTGTTCTGAGGTTTTATCTTGCATCTTTTAAACTGATGTGGTAACAGAAAAGGCCAGCCTCTGCAGGCTTAAAAGGAATGCTTTCACTACATCTTATTTTAAAGAATTATGAACTTCTGCACAATTCAAAATTTTACTTTAAATGAATTAATAATAGCAATGCAAAGATGTAGTATCTCACATCCCTTTGGTGCGAGATAACATCCAAACACTGTGATGAAGTCTGTCTTTCCTTTATCTGGACACGTGCAGATAAGACATACATGCATCCATCAGCAGTAACAGTCACAGCACTGATTAATATACAGGACTATTGCAGAACTAAGCCAATGGCTTCCTCTCTGCCTTTACTGCTTCATGAACCTGTCAAACATCATAACATAGTCAGCTGGCCTGATCTAATACCAGCTCCAACGGCAGACCAGGAACCAGCAGCATCTAACACACAAGGCCACATACCAAAAGCAAAGTTAATGTGTTGTGATGCAACCAGAAGCGGCTTTTCACTCCAGGGGGCCCCATTCCAGACACATTTGCCTGCTGGAGATTAAAGCCATGCCTATCCACTAACTGAGCCTTGGGTCACCAATATGCCTGATGGTAGATACATATATAAGCCAAGAGAGAAAAAACTTAGGGGATACAGCTGTTGTGACATGAAGAAGAAGGGAAAGATGATATCTTCTGTAAATTAAATTGGTTCAAGTAACGTTGCAGTATCACAGTCCCTAGTGCATGTAGTCCCATCACTCTCAGAAATTTTTGTAAAATGTATATTCCTCCCCACTCTCTTAATCAGTAATTAGATTATATGACAAAAGATTATTCATCAGCAGACTAGAAAAGGCATGCCTCAAAACCAAAAGAGATGCCAGGAAGAGTAAACATTGAAAGTTTATTTTATAGGAATAGCTGGTAAACAAGAGGCGGTGCCACTCCAATTATACAGAGGAATTTAAGCTTTTTGTCTTTTTACACTAGGTTTATGGGATAACATAATGCACGATGTCCTAATAATTCTTAATAATGATATTTGAGTTCACAGAAACAACTCTATCTAGTTTTCACCACTTCTCCTGCTAAGGCTTTTTCTTCTTTAATACTACAGTATAGAGAGAATAAAATGTTTTCAGATTAGAGAAAGAAATGAAACGGAGAGTGCAAAAATATAAGTTTCACAACCAAGATATGTACCTGTTTTAGTGATATGAAGTGGAAGATGCACAATTTAATTTAGATATGAATATACATATGTATACACACAGACGCACATACATGAACACAAACACATAGAGAACAAAAGACAAATACTCCAAATTTATCCTAGGACAGATCCTCTGTGTTTCGATGTCAACATTATCTAGAAGGATGTAACCTGATAATTCCACTTGCTTTTCAATGAAAAAAACCAAAACCTCACTTACCTACACACACACGACCATCAACTCCAACAGCCAAGCCAGGTGGACACTCACACTGAAAGGATCCTTCAGTATTTATGCAATGACCATTCATGCAAATTCCTGATGTCTGACATTCATCAATATCTATCAGGAGGGAACACAATTCAACAATCTATTCACTGTTTTTAAGCAAGATTACAACTAATACTTCTAGAGTATTACCAAATGACTTTATATAGCAGATGAATTTTCAACATATGCTGCTTTTGTTTCTAAGAAAAATCTCATCTTGGAATTATATAAATAATCAAATTCCAGTTGTACATTAAAAAAACCAATCAAACAAAAACCAAGGAAAAAGCCTCTGAAAAACTGTATGATTCGAAGCACTTCAGAGACTACATTAAGCAAAATTAATGATAAATTTTCCCCTTTGTCCATCCCATGATAGTGTATCTTTGCTTTAAAGTGTGGTTAGGGAAGCACTCATCATATCCATATGATGGCAAATTTTAATTTCAAATAACTTTTCAGTGGTCATTAATTTCTATCCAAGTCAACAGCCCAGCTGTATGTACTTTAAGAAAACCAGAGTTAATAGAAAGGGTTCAACTTCAAAGCAGAAACCTAAGAATTTAGATGATTTTGCACTTACTAGAAGTGACTCAAACCCAAATCTACTTCTACTGGCAGCCAACAGGTATCTTCCATTAGTTTACTTAAACTGAAGCTACACTCTCTACTGTCAAAATGTTTAATATAAGTTTTCAATGACCTCACTTTAAAAAGTTTGTAATGCTATGTGGCAATGTCTTAAGTGTTATGCACTCTGAATTGTCAGAATAATGATGTGGAAAACATCTTGTATGTGTTCATCAATGTAAAATCTTTTAAATCTTTAAAATTTCCCATATTGCTGCTCACTTTACCACTTCATGAAGGGCTTGCATATTTTGCTGCATTTACAACGCTCCAAGACTTTTCAAAAGCTAATTTATCATCTGTTGTAGTTTTCACAATATTATTAAATAATTCAGTTATTTGCTTCTGTAAGTCAGACCTACTTCTATTCCAGGCAGCTCAAGAAATCTACTCTAATGAGTTAGTAAGGTATTAGTATGATATTAAATCCATGTCACAGGATTGCCATTCTTGCATGAATGAATGGACCAGAAAAGCCATTTTCAATCAAGATTGTCTTAGTGTGTTACCCCTTAGTTCTACATACCAGTACAGTAACGTCCGTTTGGAGACAGAATAAATCCTGGTTTGCAGATGCATTTGAAACTCCCATCTTCATTTATGCACATCCCATTTAAACACATGTTCGTAGTGGTACACTCATCGTGGTCTGCAAAATATTGCAAAGAAAACTGCTTATATTTCCTCACCTTCCAGAAGATGACACAGCAAAAATAAATGATCAGGACTGATGTGACATATTCCTTCACTTGAAGATCAAATTCTACTCTTAACTCTGAAGAAGTATCTCAAGAGTTTTCACTCTACAGATAAACCAACATTTTTTTTTCCCTTTGTGATCAGTTACTTCACATGTTTCAGCAGACTGTGTATGGAAGAACAGGGTACATCTGTGTTTCTTGCATGGAAGGATAAAAAGCTTCAAACACCTGACAGTATTAAGAGCCTGTTGTTTATATAAGAAGGGTTTTTTTACATAGTACAGTCAAAATAAAAAAAAAAATTTCGGAAGTGCTGATATATGGAGCACTTGCTATGAAGCTTTAGGGAAAAATGTTATTCCTGGCACTGAGTTGCCTGGGACTCTTGAGGAGAGATGTAGCTTCAAAACCAAAAATTACCTCAAGTTTTCCTTGAAATCATGCAGTTCCATAAAATAACTATTTGAATGCAGGGACTATAAGTTCAGCTCAGGTCGTATATAAGGTCGTACCTTATTTAAAAAAAGGTAATCCTTAATGATCCTTAATTGTAGTATGAAGCAGAATTTCTAGAATCACTAAGCTAATGCCTGCCCCATTGTTTAGAAGTGTTCTTACCCACACAATTTTTTCCATCTGTAGTCAGTTCAAACCCAGCATTGCAAATACACTGGAAACTTCCATCAGTGTTTACACACCGGCCATTTTTACAAAGAACACCATTCTGGATGCACTCATCTATATCTAAGGAAAAAAAAAAAAATCAAACAAAGAAAGACTGCAAAATAAAAACTTATATAGTGACAATTATTGCTTTGATAAATACTGGCATGTTATTTAAATATTACTTAGAAAAAAATTCCAAAGATTATGAAGAATTTATTTTCATTGCATCAGAGATAGGAAAAATATTATTCTACAGGCTTGTAGAATAAATGCTACAATGCTACATTTTGTGATGCTCAGCAAATACTTTATGAATACTTTTAAAAACCTACTCAAACATTCACCTGTGTACATACATAAATATACATCTGTCATACTAACAGTTTATTTCCTTATTTTTTTGTAGAACTTCTGTCTGCGGAATTCCCTGGCCAAGTGACAGATATTCCAGAATAATGGATAGCAACAACAGAACAAATGGAATGGTAGCCTAGAACTAGAGCTCCAATTAGTGTAACAACTGTGGGGATGTAATGAAATTGCATCGCTAACTTTTTTTGAACTCCAATGGGATCTCACATAAGGTGTCAGAATATCTGCAACGTCAGTAGATGTGAAGCAAATTTTCTTTACCGATGCAAGCTTGCTTGGTAGGAGTCCTCTGGAAACCTGCATGGCACTTGCAGTAATAGGAACCAGGTGTGTTGACACATTCTCCATTAGAGCATGGGTTTGATGTGCATTCATCAACATCTGTTGGCAGCAGAGAGGAGTATTAATGACTTCACAATGTGTACAATTTTTTTCAAGTAGAAGTTTCTAAGATAAAAAGACAGTAGTGAACAGTCAAATGCTAAATACTAAAACTGATCCTTGGTGCAAAATCATTACTTCCCTAAAAAAATAGAGCTGTTTTTAGTCCAACCAGACAGACATTTTTAAGAAGTGAAATGCTACTACGTCATTTATATGTATCTGGAAAGACAGAAAAAAAAAAATATGTGTGAGGATTTTGAGACATGAGATCTGACAGTTGCCTAGTGAAACTGAACAACAGTTTATTCAACATAATTTCATTTAACTGAATGACCATCCATTTTTCTTAGGAATAAAACCACTACAAATCAAAATTGGCATTTTAAAACCAGAGCAAATAACGACATCCAAACCCCCTCCATTATATTACAGGTTTATTGAGAGGAGGGGCCACATACCAGCAGGAGGGAGTCTTAATGAGAACACAGTCTGTGCACATCTCAATTATTTATGCCCCATTGCACCCTCAACCCCAGTCTTTGCATTTGAATAATGCCAGACTTAATCCAGCCTTTCTCTGTAATGTACCTTACTCTCTTTTCCAAAGGTTTTTGGTATCTGAGTGCAACCAAACACACTCTGACCACCTTAAATCTTAGGTAACTGCTCAGAAATAAATCTCATTTGACACAGGGCTCTGAAACACTTTTCAAGAACCCTTCCCAGATTTGATGCCCAGTGGTTACCAGTGAGTCAGCTGTGTCTTTGGCCCAAACAACTATTTGGGTCAAATATTTGTTCAAATAACAACTATTCCCAGCTCTAAAACAACACTGATTGTTGCTTCCCATTATAGTCCTCTAAATCCTCCCAGGATCCTTGCCCTCTGAGATCCACGGAGCTGAGAGAGTGTATCTGTCCGGTCTGGCAGGTACGACTGCTGGCTCAGTCTCTACTGCAGCTACTAGAGGATGACCTGAGCTCTGCTACAGCTAAATTGTCAGGTTATAAACTGAATGTATTCCTTGATGAAATCCCCCTTTCTTCAACAATCACCTTTGCTAATTTGACTTTTTCCCCCCTTTAGCTATGCCCTCCATTTCACTCATACATCTGAAATTACTCATCTCTTAATTTAGGTAGGCTTTAACACCACAAAGCCAATGTTGATTTGTAGGGGTTCTGGTATCTGGCTGTAAGCTGCTGCAGGAAGTTGGGGCTAAGTAAAGCCCCTTCTGATTAATTCTCAGCAATGATGACTTTCCCACACATTTTTCACTGTATGCTACAAAAAATATCAGGAAAAACCCAGGGTAATTTTGCTGATCACTTCTACTCACCCTTTTTCAGGTCTAGTTCTAAAACTTAGTTTATTACATCTTGGAAATAATGGGATGCAATGAGAAATTAAATTTATAAGAACATCTATATGCTAAATGGATATGTAAGAGTGTTGTGCTATGAATTACTTGATTCTAAAAAATGGCAAAAGACAAGTTTTGTTCTAATTTAACCATAAACAAGACCATAAATTTCACAGGATTTACTGTGCTAATGCATACGCAGTTAAACCAAGAGCATCAATACACATATCAAAGAAATCTGGGTCTACCTAAATCACTGATTTAATGAGCTGGTTTACAGCACTCGGTGCCTAGATAAAATCAAACCGTTTGGATAAACAGTTAAATGAATGAAGCAAGATAAATAAAAAAGAAATTCAGAGAGTTAAATACAAGGAAGAAAACAGTAACTGTATCGTTATACTGCAGTAGACTTCTATGTAGTTACCATAATTTCCTGCTCTCATGCTTCTCCATGGTGCATACCTCTTTGGATATTCTTTCTCATGAGTGCTAGATCAGGTATTTTTTCCTCAGTGCTCAGTTAATACAGGGGGCCAAGAAGGATTGCACATAATTTCTTCAGTACAAAGTCCTCAGCTCCCAACAAAATGTCAAACTCTAAATCACATTTTCACGTGGATGTTTTGTAAAATGTCTTAATTCAAATTACTTTACTGTATATTTATCTCGCTTTACTATAGGGGAGGACAGAGGTAACTTATGAATACTAGATATGGCATTAATCTATTTTGTTTAGTTTTCCTACTGAGAATGACATTTATTATTTAATTATAGACTTCAACTTGCTTCATCTGTTAAAGAAAACACATTCATGCTAGAAATGGATCACACTGGAAATTAATTTATAA